TGTGTGTGTTGGTGTGTGTGTGTGTGTGTGTGTGTTGTGTGTGTGTGTGTGTGTGGTGTGTGTGGTGTGTGTGTGTGGTGTGTGTGTGTGTGTGTGTGGTGTGTGTGTGCTGTGTGTTGTGTGTGTGTGTGTGTGTGTGTGTGTGTGTGTTGTGTGTGTGTTGTGTGTGTGTGTGTATGTGTGTGTGTTGTGTGTGTGTGTGGTGTTGTGTGTTATGGTATGTATGTGTGTGTGGGTGGTTGTGGTTGTGGTTTGTGTTGTTGTATGTAATGTATGCATGTATGTGTGTAATACATATATAATATATATATATAAAATATATATATATATATATATATATATATATATATATATATAATATATATATATATATATATATATCGTGCCGATAGGTAAAAGCTTGCAGTTCTGGCTTGAGTGGTATCGCTCTTCTTGCCGAATAAGGCAAGCGAAAATTTGTGTATGCAATAATTTTTCAAAAATCATTCTGAACCTAACGAAAAAAATATGTTTCATTGTGTTTGTTTTTATTAAATTATTGTAAACTTATCTAAAATATATTTAGATGGATTAGACTAAATTCAATTGCGATTGTTATAAAAAGGTTAGGTAAGTTTTCTAAGGTTCTTTTGGTACAAAAATTATTAATTTTTATATTAACATAAATGAAAAAAAAATATATATATCTTGAAACTTATAAAAGATTTTTTTTAGAAAGTACTTAATTTTAAATGAGTTCTTCCCAATTGGCCAATTTTACCTATTCGGCACGACATATAGTATACATAGAGTATATCCGCCACGGAACAGAAAGTGAGTCAGGTATTGTGATTGTCAGTTGACCTTCCACCTGCCCTTCACCGCTGCCTCCTCCTCCTTTACCTCCTCCTTCACCTCCTCCTCCTCTAATATTTTCGACCTTCAAACATGTACCCGACGTGTCTGTAGATCTTCATGGCTGACAGTGTATCTAACTGACCCTGGCTGTTTTGCTTCAACCAACCTTCTCTATTTTTTTTCTATCTTACTCTGTTGCATTTCACTCATTTTCACTATTGTACTGTTCTCATGCTGAGTTGTGAGTCATTTGAATTACTTTCAAGGATTTCCCCTCATTTTTCCTACTTCATTTCGCTGTGTCTGTCTGTGCCTGTCACCACGTACATGTATACATAAGTGTGTGTGTGTGTGTGTGTGTGTGTGCGCGCGCACATACACACACACACACACACACACAGAGGAGAGGGGTGGGTAGACTGCATTTTCTTGAACTATATTAAGGCGTTTGACACAGTTCCGCACTATATTAGTGCGAAAGCTAGAGGAGCAGGCAGGAATAAGAGGGAAGGCACTGCAGTTAATCAGGGAATACCTGACAAGAAGGAAACAACGAGTGATGGTACGTGATGAGGTGCCAAAGTGGGCACACGTGAAGAGCGTAGTTCCACGAGGGCCAGTCCTAGGGCCGGTGCTGTTTCTGGTATATGTGAATGACATGACGGAAGGGATAGACTTATGTTCACAGACGATGTGAAGCTAATGCGGAGAATTCAAGCGGATGCAGAGTTTAACCCCACCAAGTACAAAGTCATGAAGATTGAGGAAAGTCAAAGAAAACCACAGACAGAGTACATGTCAGCATAGTTGCTGATCCCTGTGTTGTATAGCATATCAGTATCATCCATGTGCTTTAGATAGGAGATCCCTAGGCCTGTGACTGTTTGTGTGACGTCAGGGGATGCGCATGTGTACGTTCGTACCTCTGCCACTCTCTCAGTCGACATTTAGACATCCAGGCTAGTACACGGCAAGGCTGGGCTCCATCTCCCATCATCACAGTCTGACAATATATCGTTACCATCCAACAAGTGTGTCTGCCTTCAACCCTCGATATCTCCTTTTAAGAACCCCTACGATAAATGTCAGGAGATCAGCAACTATGCTGACATACAGGCTAAGGGGCCAAAGACTGCAAACGTCACTCAAGGAAAGGATCTTGGGGTGAGTATCATAGCGAACACATCTCCTGAGGCGCACATCAACCAAATAACTGCTGCACCATATGGACGCCTGGCAATCCTAAGAATAGCGTTTCGACACTTAAGTAAGGAGTCGTTCAATACACTGTACGTCGTGTACGTCAGGTCCATATTGGAGTATGCAGCACCAATATGAAACACACATCTGGTCAAGCATGTCAAGTAACTAGATAAAGTGCAAAGGTTTGCAACAAGACTAGTCCCGGAGCTAACGGGCATGTCCTACCAGGAGAGGGTAAGGGAAATCGACCTGACGACTTTGGAGGACAGGAGAGATAGGGGGGATATGATAACGACTTATAAAATACTGAGAGGAATTGACAAGGTGAACAGAGACAGGATGTTCCAGAGATGGGACACAGCAACAAGGGGTCACAGTTGGAAATAAAAGACTCAGATGAATCACAGTTATGTTAGGAAGTATTTCTTCAGTCACAGAGTTGTCAGGAAGTGGAACAGTCTGGAAAGTGATGTAGTGGAGGCAGATCCATACATAGCTTTAAGAAGAGGTATGATAAAGCTCATGGAGCAGGAAGAGTGACCTAGTAGCGACCCATGTAGAGACGGGGCCAGGAGCTGTGACTCGAGCCCTGCAACCATAACTAGGTGAGTGCAGCCCCCCCCCTCACACACACGTTGTCTCGACTCTCGCAGACAATATGGTCAGTAAAACTGAGTGCACGAACCGTGGTCCTTACACGTAGCAGATCCTAAGTTTGGTGGCTGAGTGGTAACAGAATTGGGCTTCCTATATTTAAGTACCACAGCTCGATTGCCCATCTGTTCTTCAGTTAACAGAGTGTATGTATGTATGTATGTGTATATATATATATATATATATATAATATTATATATATATATATATATATATATGTCGTGCCGAATATGTAAAACTGGCCAATTAGCAAGAACTCATTTAAAATTAAGTTTTTTCTAAAATTTTCTCTTATACGTTTAAAGATATATTTTTTCATTAATGTTAATGTAAAAATTTTTAATTTTGCTCCAAAAGAATCTTAGAAAACTTGCCTAACCTTATTATAACAAGAACAATTTATTTTAGCCTAACCCATCTAAATATATTTTAGATTTGTTTACAATAATTTAATACTAAACAAACACAGCGAAATATATTTTTTTCGTTACGTTCAGAATGATTTTTGCGAAATTATTGCATACACAAATTTTCGCTTGTCCTGTATGGCAAGATGAGCGTTGCTATTTAAGCCAAGATCGCAAGTTCTGCCTATTCGGCACGACACACACACACACACACACACACACACACACACACACACACACACACACACACACACACACACACACACACACACACACACACAATATATTTTATATATATATATATATATATGTGTGTGTGTGTGTGTGTGTGTGTGTGTGTGTGTGTGTGTGTGTGTGTGTGTGTGTGTGTGTGTGTGTGTGTGTGTGTGTTTATTTATTATTAAAGCGTCGGCCGTTTCCCACCGAGGCAGGGTGACCCGACAAAGAAGAAACACTTTCATCCTCATTTACTCCATCACTGTCTTGCCAGAGGCGCGCCAACACTACAGTTATAAAACTGTAACTTATCAACATCCCTCCTTCAGAGTGCAGGCACTGTACTTCCCACCTCCAGGAATCAAGTCCGGCCTGCCGGTTTTCCTGAATCCCTTCATAAATGTTATCTTGCTCACACTCCAACAGCACGTCAAGACATGAAAACCATTTGTCTCCATTCGCTCCTGTCTAACACGCTCACGTATGCTTGCTGGAAGTCCAAGCCCCTCGTACACAAACCTCCTTTACAACCTCCCTCTGACCTTTCCTAGGACGACCCCTACCACGCCTTCCTTCCACTACAGATCTGTACGCTCTCCAAGTCATTCTATTTTGTTACATTTTCTCTACATGTCCGAAGCACCTCATTATTATTATTATAATCAAGGGGGAAGCGCTAAACCCGGAGGATTATACAGCGCCTGGGGGGGGGGGATGTGGAAGGCATTCAGGCTTAATTCGGGGAACTGGAGCACAGATCCAATTCTCTAAATCAAGAGCCCCTCACCAACATCAAGGAACCTTCCTTGAGGGGCCCCGAAGCACCTCAACAACCCCTTAATCCAGAGGATATGATTATTACTGCTGTATTTAAATAATTTTTCATATACCGTATATTTATGTTGAGATTTCTTGGACATTTAGACTGGCTGTATAATTTTTGGTATTGCTACCCGTGATAACGTAGATAGGACGCCTGAAGCATCATTACATAAGTAAGGATCCCACTCATCCAAGTTTTACTGGGATAGTCCCGGTTTTAGGGATGGTGTCCCACCAAATTCGGTTCGGGACGCTAAATGTCCCTCTTTTTTTTTTAGTATAAACTGAGTGTCTGGTCGTTGTTTTTGTTCCTTTTATGTTTTGTATCTGTAAATTATTGTTTTCTAAGTTGTCACTTTATTGTATTTACAAATTACTGTTACTTTTTATTGAGCGACAAATCAAACAACTGAATTTTATTGTCTCAGTTTTAGGTTTTAATAAAGCGGGATCCCCACACATGTTTGTCTCTCACTCTTTCCGTCGATTGCACTCTCTTACTTTCACTTGTAGGATGTACTCAGGCAACAGGATGTGATGGTTGCTTGCCTCAGAACACTTAGTGTTCCATGTGTTTGATGTCAGCATCACTCTAGCTGGATAATAAGTCTAGTCTAGATGGTTCATCACCGTCCCTCTTCCTTCCAGCTTTATGGCGTCCCTCAAGGAATATCTCTGGCCATGCGTGAATATTCTTATTATTACTTTCATACGAAATCGTTAAACCCATGTGGGTCATACAGCGCCAGGGAATGGGGGGTCAGTCATGTTTCGTTCTAGGGAGGGTAGCTCCAGCTCTTAGGACCAAGAGCTCTTCAACATTTTGATCTTGTAGACTCAGAGGTGAAGACAAACAAAGAATTATTATCAACAAATTTATTACTGTAACAACTTTGGGATCAGATACAGAGATCAGCGGGCAGCATCAGCAGCAGCATCAGTGAGCCACCTAAGCCACACGCACACACCTGCACACCATGTACGTATTTGCGTGTACCCACAAACAGGTTCGAGGCCTATCGACCGCAGCTGGGTCATTCTGGCCGCAAGTCACCTGCACACTAACGTTAATAAGAATGCTTCAATCCCTGAAATTGGGATTAAGCAAACTTTCATTGTATATACACTAAGAAATGTACATCTCTTGGTATATATACTCTATAACACATACACCCCTAAATCTAGTTAAATCATGCAAAAGTCTGTGTAATATATATATATATATATATATATATATATATATATATATATATATATATATATATATATATATATATATATATATATATATATATTACACACACGGCCAATCGATGACTAATCAAGACAGGTAACTTGTTTTGTTTGTGACGTCACGTGACGTTCATGCTTGGATGAAATCACGTGACGTCATGTTTGTAAACAAAGGCACGTGGGGTTATCCTTAAAAACAATGGCAGTGTTGAGGCAGGACAAGGCAAGGTATTTTTTCCCGTTTTCCATTTGAGAAGAAACAAATTCAAAATACCCAGACCCCACAGGGTAGAAACCACAAGAGTCGACTTAAAGTAAACTTAAGTCGATTTGTAGAACTGAGATACACTGGGAGACTCTCACATATCACATCATACAAGCGGTGGAAGCTACGTCGAACTTCAACAAGCCTGCTGAACAGATTTGTTTGTACAGTGTCTGAATAAAAGTTTTTCTTTGTATCTGTGTATATTTCAACTTCATTGATCTTCTTGCAAATACGAAACTCGTTAATTCTTTTATAAGATGTAAAATTCAGCTCAATAATCATGAGGAGCTTCAGTACTTTAATTGATCTGAAAATAATTTGACGCTTTGCAACTGTACATTCGTCGAATTTTAAAAACCAACAGCAGGTTTTGAACGTTTCACAGACACAGACACAGACACACACAGACACACACAGACATACACAGACACACACAGACACACACACAGACACACACACAGACACACAGACACACAGACACAGACACACAGACACACACACACACACACACACACACACACACACACACACACACACACACACACACACACACACACACACACACACACAAACTATACAGCTATGCATGACTACAAAAACAACCATTAAGGCACTAAATATTAGGAGTATTTACAAGATACAAAAAGAATCATCCATGTAGCCACCAGGGAAGAGTAGTGATGATGATATTGGGCATCAGTGGTAGTGAATGGGTATCAGTGGAGGTGAGTGGGCAATGATGGCTTAGAGATGAGCGGTGCCATCAAGGCCACTGTGCCACTCGCGGCAGGCCCGGAGCAGTGATGCCAGAACACTGGCTACATTCCTTATAATTGATAAGACAGTGTTACCATCGAAGTCACTACACTTCTCCCTGTGCACGTCACAGCAGCACATCAATTCATATAAATAAGATCATTCAAAAGCGTTGAGCATTTACCGATGCCACGTCAAGGCAAACAGAGAAAAAGAGGAAGGGGGGGAAGTTAAAAAAAAAAATAAGAGGGGAGAGAAAAAGAGATGGACACACCTCCTGAGTCATAAGGCACATATTAATCGCCTTCAAATACAAAAGCTTAATAACTAAATTAATGCATATAAAACTTAAATTGAGAGCCACCACATAACCTGCAAGTTTGTAAACAGTGTTTTCTGGGCTCCTCATAAGTTTCTGGAAATTCTTCGAGTATCTGGTTAACTTTGGCGGTAATTTGTAAAGTTTTCTATAATTTGTTTTGAGTTTCTGAACTATTTATGAGAGCTTCTGGATAAACTGTCAGACTTAATGCACATAATTTTTGAGTTCGTAGACATTTTAAAGAAACTTCGGGCAAGGTCACTGCTGTTCCTTCAGCGAGGCAGCACCCAACAGTTTTTTGAACACTAAACACGACACACATGTATGACTTGAAAGCAGCACCAACAGTTTCAACTAATCCAGCTGAGGTATAGGACTGGCACAGGTACAAATTTTCGTAGTCTGGAAGTCTTGAAGTCTGGAGTCTTGAAGGCAGAGGAAATCCCTCACTCAGCATTTTGAAGGGAGATCTTCCACCTTCAACAGCAAGGCGCGTCAGTTCTGTCCTGAATCAGGTCATGTTTAATGCTCCTTGCTCAAGGAAAGAATAAGGTCTTCAGTCAACCGGTAATTAAAATTAAACACTCAGGTGATGAAATGTATCTCATGGTGTATGCACAGTGAATTGACTGTCTTCCCTATTTTACGAAAGAAAATATCCTTGTTTTAGTGACTAGTTAGTTTGTTGCCTTGATGACAATCGCTCAGTCGATAGGCTTTAAACGAAACAAAGTGATAAGCGATACCTCTTCAACAGATAAGGGAGAGATATGTGCCTTCTTCGGTAGCTGAATGTGAGAGGAAGAGGCGAGGGACGCTTTCTTCCACCTCAGCAGCTACTGACGACGGCAGCAGTGGAGAGGAGCTTGAACTGTGGCCTGAAGACTGGGATGAACCAACTAGCCACCACCTCCCTTTGCACTGCATCTTCATTAGTGCGGGGGTGAATATTCTTTTCGGCAATCTTCGGGATGGTTCCTGGTGGAGTCGTCGTGATGGTCGCTGAGTCACTCAGTCTTGTGAAGAAGTTGGTTGGTCGGGTGAAGGAATTGACTGAGTTGTTGCGGGAGTTGACTGAGTGTTTAGGGGAGTTGACTGAGTGTTTAGGGGAGTTGACTGAGTGTTTAGGGGAGTTGACTGAGTGGTTGGTAGAGTTGATTGAGTGGTTGGGAGAGTTGACTGAGTGGCTGAGGGAGTTGACTGAGTGACTGGGGGAGTTGACTGAGTGGCTGAGGGAGTTAGATAGTTGAATGATAGTGCTCTTTGTTTTGGTTGCTGTTCGGGATCCGGAGTTATTTTGTCGAGCGTCAGGGATGTTTGCTCGGATGTGAATGTCGATTGGTCGGAATTTTCTGTTTCTTGAAAGGAAGTTGGTGTCGGAAGGGGTGCCGTCGATGCTGCGTGATGCGGAGCTGCAGTTTCTAGTCCCTGAGTCTGACTTGTGACCTGAGATTCTGGGTAGGAAGGAAGGAGGGGAAGGCTTGCACCTTTTGCTTCCGGAGTGCCGGAGGAGGAGGAGGTGTGGGGGATGGAGAGTGGCTTGCACAGGTAACTCACTCTGTCATGACTCTGTCTTCGCCAGAGCCACGCGCGGTAACATGCTCTCACTCTCAGTGTTTGAGGCGTCGGTGGTGGCGCCCGAGGAAGTGGAAGCACTCGAGGTGGACGTTGTGACGGTAGACGATGAAGTGCTGGAGGTAAATGAGTCCCTCCAGGACTCCCAGGCGAATCCCTTCGCACGAAAAAGCTTAGTTAGTATAGCTGCAAGGGGGGAGCGGTGTGGCGCCAACTGGCCCCTACGAATGACCACGTAGGGGTTCATCCCGCTGTCAAAGTTGGCGTCGGGAATGGTGGGGGAGGGCGGGATCATCTGCAGCTGGAGGCCAGAGTGAGGACGGCGGCGATAGGAACCACCGCTGGTCTTGGTGCTGAGGGGCAGACCTAGCAGGCGGCGCACCTCCCGCTGAATCCTGCGGGAGCGGTAGAGGTAGACGTAGGGCGACACAGCAGAGTTACTGAGAGCCAGCAGCAGCACCAAGCTCTGCGCTGCACCCGGCACCCACACCTGCAGACAACACAAAACTGTTAGGTACCGCCAGACCACACACACACACTAACACACGCTCACTAACAGACTGTTACTTTTCATTACGAGAGTAGCCATTGATGCTCCCTAAGCCTGGCTGGCCGTGTTGCTTCTTCGTATCCCGATTAGTGAACGGAGGATCGAGCCTCCACTACTCTGCGCTGAATGACCTACGCGGGTTGAGCTATTCACATAACTTTATTACTACTAATAATAATTAATCTAACCTAACTGCAGAATAACGTCTCCCTTTCAGATAGACTCCCATATTTTTCTCAAATTTTCTCTGCTTCCTTTCTATCTCTCAGACAGATCTGTTTCCATCCTTCCCAGGAAGATCAGATATTACCTAAAACCTCTTTTCCCCTTCCAGAGGAGTTTTTTCATCTTTCTGTCAGCTGTCTTCCCTTCCCTGGTGAGAAGCGTATCCAGCACCCACCTGGAGGAGTGCGGTGTGGAGGAGGGCGGCGGCGTAGTATGGCAGCCAGCAGGCGAAGAAGAGCACGATTACCACCACAGAGATCTTGGCTGCCCGAGACTCTTCCTTGTGCAGGAAGAGCGAGGCGTTGCTGATGCGGTGACGGAGGTTCGTCACGATCTGTGATGAGGTGGACCTCGTAGACGGAGTTCTGTAGACCCAGGAGAGAGAGAAAGTTAGGGAGTGCAATATATAAATATATATTCAAACAGCTTTAGGGAGATATATATCTTAATATTTTTCCTCTTAAGTCTTTTCTTGTACTAACCCGGTATTATAGTTGTGTCATGATAACTGTAACTCTCCCGTCTGAGATATCAGAGGCTCCAGCCTCCCTGTGTTACGTTTTGTATTTTATCTACTTCTCTAAGGATATGGCTCCCCATATTGCACTAGAGGTGTACCCCATCTATATAGTGTACGATGTTTTTCGACACTGGTCGTTTCCCACCAAGGAAGAGTGACCCAAAGAAAAGAAAAAGACATTTGCCATCACTGTCTTTACTATCGATGGATTTTTTTACGGTATCTGACCCCATAAGATCCCAGACTGGAGAATATAGCTCCAGCCATAATAATAGAGGGTGTTTGAGATACGTGGAGGTGAGGGTTACCTGGAGGGTCCTCTGGCGGCAGTGACAGCATCAAGGGTAATGCCACACAGAGAGTTCCTTCGGGTTCTCTCGCTGTTTTTGTGGGCGGCGTGGTAGATGCGGATGTAGATCCACACCAGCAGCATCATGGGCACCGTGAACGACACCACCATGTTGGCCACCACGAAGTACGACCGGTACGTCCACGGGTCGTCTGTCGTGGTAGTCATTGCTGCCGGCCCACACACCTTCCTATACTCACCACCAACAATACACATTAATGAATTTATATGCAACTTGACCACTGTGATAAAATATATCAAATCCTCTTAACATTGAAGCTAACAGTAATAATAATTTCTTATTAAAGCTAATGTGATGCTGAATACATTTAATTATAGTTACTTAATGAGGTAGGAGGAAAAGTCACTTAGAGCATATATGTTGTGTTTTCTGCGAAGGTGTAAGAGAGGAAGGAACACAAGAGAGAAGAAAATGATGGCGAGACATGAACAAGGAGAGGAGAATAAATAAGGGAAGGACACGAAAAAGGAGATGAAAGAAGGACACAGGAGGAACAGTGAGGGAGATGATATAGGGACAGGAGGCGGTATATTATATAGGAACACGAAAGTGATAAAGGTAATGGGAATGTATGAAAGGGAGAGAGTACTTACCAGCTCCTGCCGGAGAGGTCACCGAGGGAGGCAGCAACTGCGATGAGAGCTGCCAGTAGCCACCCCAGGAAGATCATGGAGAGACTCTTGTGCCTCGTGACCAACATGTGGTAGTGCAGGGGGTCAGTGATGGCGCAGAACCTGTCTACGGCGATGAGCAGCGTGGCGAACACTGACGCTGACGCCACCAATTCCGCCACGGCATCCATGGCTCGGCAGAACGACGCAGACTCCCACACCGGCAGGAAGGTGTCAGCCACCACCAGCGGTAGCAACAACCACGACGCCAGCAGGTTGCACACTGTCAGGCTCACGATGAACCTACAATACACAAAATACAAGTATTAGCAAGCACATTATGTTTTTAAATTCATTGAGATGTGCTAAATCTATGAGGGTCATAACAGGCAAGAATGAGTAAAATAAATTAATGCGTTTTCTTATTATCAGTCAACATGGAATCCATATTTAAAAGAAAATAATATTAATTTGAAGTATGACTGACTATCAACATGGTGTCATCAGTCCCATGAATTACCCATACATGGAATACCATGAGCAACACTCATCACATCTGCGACCAGTCCTTGAGTGCGCAGCACCAGTGTAAAACCCTCAACTAGCCAAGACTAACAGAATTTAAGAAAGTCGAGATTATTGCTCGATCTGAGAGGAACACACAAGAGGAAATAAGATCACAACATACTAAATACTCCGAAGCATTGAGTAAATAGAATTTGACTCTATACCAAGAAAGGATGCAGAAAAAACAGTCACTAGCCTGTGTGTTTTAGGACTCACCTTGTTAAGATAAGATAAGATTTTGTTCGGATTTTTAACCCCGGGGGGTTAGCCACCCAGGATAACCCAAGAAAGTCAGTGCATCATCGAGGACTGTCTAACTTATTTCCATTGGGGTCCTTAATCTTGTCCCCCAGGATGCGACCCACACCAGTTCCGTGATTTGTTTGCAATCATGTTATTAAGATTTCGTGAGTCATGGAGGATGTCGAAGAAGGGAAGTTGAATGAGAAGTGAAGAGCTTCACGAGGCGGTCAGATGGTGACCACGGGAGGGTACTCACGTACACCCTATTAACACACAAGAGAGGGGCGGGTCATTCCTCCCGAGGGGGGGTTGACCCCTCTCGCATGAATGGACGCCAAGCCCCTTCATCTAGCCTCCTCCGCCAGTTCCCAACCAACCCACTCTGACCACCCCATCATTCCCCTAACCACCCTCTCACCCACGCTCCCTCTTCTCGCTACCTACCTCAATCCCTTTCATTCATATACGGAAATTTGGTGAGATGCCGTGGTTTACTGCTCTGGTTGACGACATTTGATTATTTGGCCGTTTTCTTTGCCAGCGTAGGAAGCTAGACTGGGCAAACTTGTGTATTCTAACCAATACTCATGGAACAATACGAGATGCTGGTTTTCATACATGAACCTCAGTTTTAAAGTGAAAAGTTGACGGGGTTTCTAGACAGGAGTGAGAGAGAGAGAGAGAGAGAGAGAGAGAGAGAGAGAGAGAGAGAGAGAGAGAGAGAGAGAGAGAGAGAGAGAGAGAGAGAGAGAGTACTCACCTAGTTGTGGTTGCAGGGGTAGAGTCACAGCTCCTGGCCCCGCCTCTTCACTAGTCGCTACTAGGTCACTCTTCCTGCTCCATGAGCTTTATCATACCTTCTTAAAGCTATGTATGGATCCTGCCTCCACTACATCACTTCCCAGACTATTCCACTTCCTGACAACTCTGTGACTGAAGAAATACTTCCTAACATCCCCATGATTCATCTGAGCCTTCAATGTGTGTGTGTGTGTGTGTGTGTGTGGTGTGATGATAAGTAATCTTTATTTCTACACGTACATGATACAACCGTTACAGACCTAACTGACATAACTGGCATACTATAGAGAAATCCTTAAATTATGAAGAGCATTTCGGGCAGCTTAGGTTAACTCTTGTCATATATTGTCATATATGTAACACTTAAATTAAAAATTTGTTAAGGTCCGTATGTCTCATTGTTGGGGATTTGTGGTGGTCCCTCCCATGTTAGTATCACTCTGATAATGTCACTGATGATCTTAAACGTCGTGTCACTTCTTCAACCTCCGAGGTTCAGTTCCTTTGTTCCTTTGTTCCTTCAGTTCCTTTGTTCTTTCCTTGTGTCTCATACTTTTCATCCCGGACACTAGTGGGTTTTAATGCGCTCTGCCTAGCATGAGCCAGGAGGTCTACTGCAATGCTCTACTATTCTTATATTCTGGAGTTGAGCGTGTGTTTCCCTGAGCGTGGCTTCATAGTGCTGCGACATATTAAGGTTCCTTAAGGAAGATTTCACATTTTCCACTTATGAAATATGCTTTATATGCGCCTCAGACAGAAGTTTAATGACCCTTGTGGGTCATTCAATGCTTGATCTCCATCTCCTGATCTTGGGTGACACGCTGCCTATGGAGTTCTGTGTGTTAATTAAAACACCTAATTTTTCCACTTGGATTAAAATTTCTTAAACAATTTTTCAAGACCCTCAAGAAAAACGTAAAAATATCAAGATTCTTCATTTCATATACTCGTAAAATATTAACATTTTGCAGTTTAATTTAAAGTTAGGCTAACATAAAGTGGGATTTGAAGATAAGACCCGCATCACCTCGACCACTCAGCCTTGCCAACTTGTAAAAGATAAGTGAGACTGCTGAATGTTAGTCTTTGGGTCGAATTTTAGTGGGTAACAGTGAGTTTTTCACACATACACCACTTAAAATGAGTCGAATTAAAAAATGAATAGCCCTGGTAGCCCCTTTCAGAGGTGGAGTTCATATCCAGCCCCGTGTGGTGTCGGGTTCAGTCTCACATTCTCACGGACGTCGTGATCATTTAGTAGCGACAATGGTCATCCCTTCTCTGGCCATAGAATAACTGCATCTAGTTTAAAAGATGAAGCTGAATGTGGCCACAGCAGCTATGTACCACCACCCCACCCTCACACCCCCAACACAACCCCCCTAACACAACCACCCTACCATCACACCACCCCTCAAAACTACCACCCCACCATCACACCACCCCCAACACCACCACCCGCGCCGTCATCCCCATCACCACCCACAACACACGCTAGCCCCCTTCCCCCCACCCACATGTCTTTATTCCACAAGATTTAACTCATTGAATATAATCTGTAAGCACCTTGAACCACGTGTGTTGGTGAGGAAGTGCTAGTGATTGTGCCTTTTTTTTTCACAATGGTGATCCAGTAGGAGTTGGTATAGATGGTGGTGCTGGTGATATGGAATTAGAACATTGGGTGTTAGTAGTATTGATCTACCTGACTCACGACATCGTAATAACACGATTACAAACAAACCAGGGTACGGGTGGGGTTGGAACCCACGGCAAGTGAGTCGTAAAACTCCAGGCCGATACGTAAGCCACTGGGCCAACTGGTCGTCAATGCCACGCTGGTGGGAGATTCATCTGTTAAAACTTGCATTTGTGGTCACAATGGGACCCATGCTAACCTCCCTATGGTGTATAAATAGACCTAATTGGATGAATCTTATTGTAGCCAGCTGGCCCAGTGGCTTACACATTGGCCTGGAGTTTTACTATTCACTTGCCATGGGTTCTAACCCCACCCGTACCGTGGTTTGATCTGCCTTCTTGAGTCTACATGCTCCCTCGGCTCAGTCTCAAACCAGACCTGTTAGACTGTTGATACTTGTGGCAAGCAGTCTGTTGCCCGGCTGGTCGAGAACAGTTAGCAAAAACTTTCCATGTTCTTTCTTGAAGAAAGTTAGGGATTTGTTGATATTTCCATTTATATACGAAGGAAGGTCATGGAAAACCTATATGGAGTTATTACCTCTTAGTGTTCTCATTGTAACCCTACTTTTTATTAGGGGTATTTTGCAACGTCTATCGTACCTTCAGTCCATGGAGGAAGTACACAAAGTTGGACTCAGTCCCTGCTGCATTTTCCAGGTATAAAATGTAATATAAAATTCTCGCCGGTACACTAGGGAGTACAGTCTGGGAACTTTAAGCTTTCCCAATAATTTAGATATCTGAATATCTGTAAGTAGTGAAATTTCTCTGTGTATTCTCCAGTTTTGCAGTTCTGCCTTCCTCAAACAGGGCTGCTTATGTATTTCTGTCTAGAAGCTTACGAACGAAAGAGTGTTAACACGAGAGCTTCTGACATGCTTACACCAATACTACCGTGTTCTTTGAACACAAGAGCTTCTTACATGGTTACCCTTAGGTCCCCTATATTCGTCTTCCACTCTACTGATTATAGTTTGCACTCTGTCTTAGCGGACTACAGGTATAAAAAAGATATTTCAGCCTGAGGGTGGCTAGCTAGTGGAAGACACTAGGCGGGGAAGTATCGAAGACGCCGTTCATACATGGACTCTCGTGTAAATAAAACGCAAAGTGAGAGGCGTGAAATTAATCACATCGGACGATTAGTAGTTTAGAGTTGTGGCCCAGGAGCCGGAGCTCAACCTCCAAATTCGTATAGGTAAGGAATAAAAGCCACAAAACTATGGAACAGAACCTTGGTTATAGCAATACAGTTACTGGAGTAATTCACAACTAATCCACAATTTAAAAGAAACGTGAGACTACGTTTTGGTTAATCGTGGACCGTTATAAAATTTCGACTAGCTTGATAACGGTCGAGGACGCACATAAGAATGGTCCTGAACGGATCTGATAAGGGTTCAGAATGGTTCGAAACGATGTCTAAAGTTTCCTCTCGAAAATGAGATAAGAATGAATAAGTCAGTAAAGGCAAGAATACAGAGACAGACTATTGCTCTTTCAACTAGCTACACTCATCAACTAATGAAGGATGGGGTGAGGTGCTCGTACCCAGAGAGCGTTAAACTGAGATGAATGGAAGCTACGACCAGACTGTCTGAGTGATGGGAACACTAGCTGTTTTATCTTGTCCATGAGCGTTGCTTGGCAAGCCAGCTGCACCACCACAACCGGCATCACTCTTAACTGCACCACCACCACCCTTAACTGCACCACCACTACTCTCAACTGCACCACCATCCTTAACTCCATCACCAGCATTAACACCTCCCTCCCTTCCCCAACCTTAGCTTCACCATCACCACCACAGCCCCCATTCACTGATTCACCATTATCCCACTACTATTAAAACCATTACTCTCAGCAGTACAACCAATAGCCACTCTTAGCACCCAGCCCTAAATAGCTGTTTGTGGGATCGAGTCTTAGCTCCTGGTCCTCGAAACGTTAACATTTTTGTAACTCGTCTAGGTGTCCAGTTCCAT